GCTTTGCAATGGCAGCAGCGGCTCCTGGTTTTGCCTTTCCCTTCCCGAGGCAACGCGGGACTGGAGCCGCGCGGAGCGCGCCAGCGGTAACAACTCCTGACAGCCCCAGCCGGATACCTCAGCGGAGCTCGGGCGGTGCGAGCCTCGTTTCCTTGGGAGCTGGGAGAAGGCTGGCTGCTCCTTTCGGCTTCACGGGATTCGTTTCCACAGTGCGCAAAAGTGCCTCAGCCGCGGGCAGCCGCAGTGCTTCCCAATTATTGTTTGCCGGCGTATAAGACGACCCGGCATATAAGACGACCCCCCCAATTGGAGGCATCTTTTTCAGGGCAAAAAAGTTGTCTTATACGCCGGCAAATACGGTAAAACTTTTTTTCTTATAAACTAACATAAATTCTTGAAAAGAGCTTTTTAGGTATTGCTATTGCTTGATGTTAATTTTTTGGCAGATTTGTAATATTTCAATCAATAGTTTATTAATTACTCACCCCAGAGAGAAAAAGAAATACTAGCCTCTTTAGAACTGGTGCATTACATTACTACTACAATAAAACTTTAATACTTTATCAGTGACATATATGATCATTGCAGGAGTTTGATTTTCATGTCCGGTGGCCTGGAGTAAAACTTCTTACAGTGTTGTTAAAACAACAGGGTCCCCAATTGCAGCAGATAATCTTAGTCAGTCCTATGGGTAAGTATTTTTAAACTTTTGCATCCATTTTTAAATGTAATAGCTATTTATTAATTATATTTTTATTAAACAAATTTATATGCCTACCCAACTCACACATGGTGAGTCTGGGCAGCATACAGGAATGAAAATAGATATCCAAAGCAATTGATAAAAATTTAAAATCTGTCAGCATTAACTTTTTGGATAAATAATATTTTCTTTAGTATGAAAAGGTAAGAGTAATAATAAGCACATGTTTTGAAGAAAGACCATAATTGAGTAATGAAATGCCGCAACATAGGAGCCTCTATTCTAGATCAAACCATACCCCAATTCAGGTAGTGTTGGGCAAGGGCTGGGAGCTTTGGAATTGTATTCCAGAACCAATTAAGGTGTTATTTAATCAACCCCTTGAGAAAGAGAAATTCCATGAAGATTCTTAATCATCCAGGTCATGGTTGTTCCAAATGTGTTTTTTTCCATTTTTTTTCCATATTTTTTATTTTATTATATAAAATACTAAAGAAAGAAAAAAAAAGAAAAGAAGAAATTAAGGGCGGGAAAGGGAACGGGAAAAGGGGGTGTGAAATACAAGGGGGGAGAGAAATAGAAAGAAAAGGGACCATTAACTTTCAACTCTTCCTAGCTCAGTACAAAATAAACACCCTCCAGCCTCAACTTTTTGCTTTTACACATTAATATATAGCTAGCCATTTCTATAACGTCAAATCTTTCTAATAAAAAAACCAAGATCAAAGTTTAATTTTTTTCTTCAAAAGCACAAATTCCAGAAGTGATATCCAAATAAGAACATATTTTCCTCTTTAAATAAAGTAATCAAGTTAACCATTTCTGCTTTATCTTCCTTGCTATGGAAACAACATCTATTTCTATTTGTACCTAGTAATATTTATAAACTGTCACCATTTTTATTTACAAAATTTATCGTATTCTTTCAAATTCTTTGGCCTAAAAAAGGGGGGGAGGGTATATTTTTCCCCTTTCACCCTCCCTTTTTACTTCAAAGTACTAAACTTTTTTAAAAAACAAAAAGGCAATTTTTTCTTTTAAATCAAAACTTTTTAATACACCTTATTCTTTAACTTTAACATACAAGCTTTAAACTTCAATATTGCATTTAGCTCCCTCCCTCTAAACTATCCTTATAGAATACTTATTTTTTTCTTTTATAAACATTCCTTTTAATATACAGAGTTTTCCTTTAAACTGATACATCATTTTCTTTTACTTTCTCTTAATACAATACATTTGCAATTTTTGGGTTAAACATTTCTTTCAGTTGTACATATCAAGCAGAGAAAAATGCATTCTGATTCCAATTAATTCATTAAATTTAAGTCACTCTTTCCAACTTATCTTCATGGAGTAAAATCTTTTTCTTCTCTGGAACTATCAAGGACTTGTATTCCTTTCTTTTTTTCACAGGATCCCCAACCTTGTTAATGTCCTTAAAGAAAAGGTCTCAAATCTATCTGTTCTCAAAGCTCTTCTTTCAGTTTTGTTGAGAGGTTTACATTTGAACCATAGTAGTGAGGGTAAAAATAAAAGTTAATATCTGGCTTTTTCAAAACTGCGATACACTCCTCTGCATTTTCAGCTACTTGTGAAGTTGCCTTGGCAGTTTGGTAAAGTTCTCCACATGTTTGTATGTCAGAAGTACTTTGAGAGGATTTTTCTTTTATCCTCAGAGAACAATTGGTCCACAAATTGATGTATTTTATTTAGAGACCTTTCAAATATATGTCTAATACTTTGCTCCATTATCTTGGCTTCCTTTTAATCAGAAACAAAAGATTTTAGCTACCCACAGCTGAGAAGATAAAGCTACCAGTTACTACAAAAGTAAACTAAAAGCATGGCTTCAATCTTTATCTTTCTCCGTCAGCTTTCCATGCCCCCCCCCCCGCCCATTTCTTTATTTAGCTTGCCTTAGTAGCCTCCTTCCTTGTTCTTTAAGACAAAAAGAAACCCCTAAAATGGTGTAGGTCTTCAAAAAGATAAAGCAGCTGTTGCTAGAAAGGGCCTCTTTTAAATTGACAAGATAGAATAATAGTCTTTGAAGGTGATAAAATCAAATCAAACCTTTATTGATTAAGATAGGGAAGGTATAACTTACTGTCCATTTGATCAATGACTCTTCAGCCGCCCCCCCCCCCCCCACAGATTGCAGCCCCTCCCCCCCCAGCTTTTGGCATGCAGATAGCTTCAGAGTTCATCTCCAAAAGCAATCTGCCATCTTACAGCTGTATTGAAGGGTCCCAAGAGGAAATTCTTTGACACCCTGACCGGGTGGGTCATAAAAACTGATGGGATATCAATCCCTTCAGTTAAAAGGCAGAAGAGCAACACTCCAGGGAAAAATCGTTGTGAGATCTCTCCCTATGCGTGGATTCAGTTAGCTATGTTCCTAGGAAGTCCTCTCCAAACATGCTTTTTCCAAAATGCATCCAAACTTTTTTTCCCCTTTAAAATAGTTTCTCTTCTCATTCAAGAAGTTTCTTCAATTCTGATTAACTGGTGAGGAATGGAAAAATGTATTTTTTTTTAGTCATCAGTTAGCAATCTGTTAGCACTCTGAGGATTGCTGAAACTGAAAGTCGGAAGTTGGAAGTTTTTCTGTATCCTCAAAGTCACCTGAGGGAAAAGAGAAAGAAAAGAGAAAACAAAAACGTATCAAGGATGCCCTATCAAAACTGGGCCTTCATCAAATCTCCAAAATTATCCAGCAGCACCTCTTTCATAACAAAGAAGAAAACAACAGATGGATCAATGTTGTCATTCCATATATTGCAGGAATATCTGAAAAGCTCAGGAGGATTTTCAACCAACACAACATATGTACACACTTTAAATCCAGGAAATTCATTAAGACAGAAGCTTGTCCACCGTAAGGACAAAACATCCAGTCATAAACAGTATAATGTGGTATATGCAGTACAATGCAAAGAGACATGTACAGACCTGTACATTGGGAAAGCAAACAACTACTCACAAACACACAGCACAACACAGGAGAATAAATTCATTAGAACATGATTCAGCAGTCAATTTGAATCTGAAAGATAAGGTTACTGTTTTGAACACAACAAAATTCACATTTTGGACACAGGATTACTGCTTGAAAGAGGAGTCAAAGAAGTCATGTATGTTAACATTGAATAGCCATCAACAAAGGGGGAAAGGATACAAAATCCTTGTTTACAAAGCAATTCTTTCAGGAGGGTCAAGAAGGTTCCACATCCGTTTACACTCTGATTCAGGTGACTCTGAGGATACAGATAAAGACCCAAGTCGCTCAGAGACTCTCACCTAACAACTAACCCTCAAAATGTTCTGACTCAACTCCCAAACACAACAAACCCCCTAATTAATTAAATGTTTCCTTTATTAGTAGCACCAGCAGCTCCTGCAAAAAGTCTGTCTCTTCTCTCACATCAGGCTAACAAATCTGTCTGACAGTTGTCTGCCACATCTATTCATCTCCACCACCTGCCTTTTGTCCCCAGAGCTAGGGTGAGCCTTCGCTAGCAGCAGTGGCTCTTCTGTCCCAGAGACCGGCCCATATTTTTCCACTGCTTTCCTCTTCTCTGCCTTTTGCACATCCATGCATCAGCCACTGGACCCAGCTGTTCCTCTTCTTCCTCAAGCCACCTCCAGACCTGGGGGTTGTTGACTCTCCATCTGAGGGCTAATGGATGGTCCAGGCTCCACCTGTGTCTCTGTCTCTGACAGCTCCATTCCCTCTTCTCCCTCAGAGCTCTCAGATTGCCTTCATGCTGGCCCTGACTCCCATGCCACCTCCTCATCTGATTCAGCTGCCAGAGAGACCGGCAACCGGCAGGCCACAACACAAAATGCTAACAACCAGGAGAAATCATTCCATTCCTTAGCTGTCATTAGAAGTGAAGAAGCAATTTTTTAAAAAAAATAAATAAAAGTCCAGATGCTTTTTGGAAAAAGCACCTTTGGGACATCCCCTTGATTAGGGCCCAGAATGGGTCTTATCTGTTTCAGAACTAAGAATTGTACAATGGCTGCTCAATTAAATTTAGTTTATTACAGAATATGGCAATTGCATTATTATTCATAGTGCCTGCCTAGAGTATCTCTGATAATTAATATGATGAATGGATGGATGGATTAGATTTTCAGTGCTATGTATATAGTGTATTATAATAACCTAAAATGGATTTTACTGCTATACTCTGGATAACTTGTTCTTGTATATGAGAAAGTGTAATAAATTCATTGTTGTAAGTTATTAAAAGATGTTTCTTGCTTGGCAGTCCAATGATAAAATTAATTGTACTCCTGGCTTCACACCTCATTTTGAGAACTTTATAAACTATTCAAAAGTTGAGCATAATTTTCCATATATCTGGTAGTAATATTTCTAGCAGAGGTGGGCTGCAGCTGATTCACACTGGTTTGGGTGAACCAGTTTTTAAAGATTCTGTGCAGTTCAGTGAACCAGCAAAGCCCACCACTGTCTGACCCCGCCCCCTTGGGGTTGCCAATCAGGGTGGGGAAGCTGCAGGGGCGTGACTAGGAGCCACACTGGGAGGCGATGAATGAACCTGCAGCTGATCAGCTGGGAGGCTACCACCCTCCTACCAGCCCAAAAGATCATGTGACCACCACTTTTAAAAAAAAAGTTCAATCAGACCTTCCAACTTCATGAGATATTTTTTTCCCTGAGAAGTTGGAAGGTCTGACTGAACTTTTTTTAAACTGGAAGTCACATGGGTTTTTTTGTTGCCCTACATGCAGGAGAACAAAGCTGGAAGGCAGGTTAGTCAGGGAATGGGAAGGGGTGGGAGTGAGGATTTTGCATTATTGTTGGTCTGGGATGGGGTGGAAGTGAGGATTTTGCATTATGATTGCTCATAAGTAAGTAAGTAACTAGTAAAAGAGAAATGGAAAAGTCCCTATCTGTAGATCAGTGTTTTTCAGTCTTGGCAAGTTTAAGATGGGTGAACTTCATGCTGCCTTGGGAATTCTGGAATTGAAGTCTGTGCACCTTAAAATTGCCAAAGTTGAGAAGCATGCGTCACTACAGTTTAGGATTTTGCGTTCTTGTTTTATTTAGAGTTTGGTGCAATTAAGTTGTGGTTTCCTTAACAAATAGTGATTAAAGCGATATGAAGCATTACTGGACTTTTTGTGAGAAACTGAAATTAAAAATTGATCTGGACTTTGATGATTAGATATGAGATTATGGAAATAATGCAGACAAATGTTAGAGTAAGAGTGTGATATAGTTTTGTTTATATCTGTACCAAAGAAAGTTGGAAGCCATTCTTTTATGGCTTTCCTACTTTTCCGCTTTCTTTCTTACACTTTCACTCTCCCCCCCTCCCCCCAAGCCTTTTCTTTTTTCAAATCTGTTTTTAATTTGTTTATCCCTTCGCTTTTTGGTGTATTTTTTTGATGTATGAAGGATCAAATACTCAGCCATTATAATTCTACATTCCTTATTTATAGAAATCATGTCAAGATTTAGAATGAAATCCACTGGGAGCCATCTCATATAAGGCAGGCTCTGAGTCTCTCTAATCAGAAAGTATTTATCGATAGAAGAGGATTTTTGTAGCTCAGGATTGAACTGTGGGTGCCTTTATGCTCTCTGAGCTTGATGGCTTTCTTGCAGATGTTTCATTACCAAACTAGGTAACATCATCAGTACTAGAAGGGAGTGGAGTTTGCCCTTATTTTCATATATTAGTGGTTTACCCTGTCAGTGATTATCAGTTGTTTCACAAACAGTGTTTTGATTGGTGCCAGGTCTCTACAATCTCAGGCAGAGAACGGCTATTCTCTGCACCCTTCCCTCAAATATTCTTTAAAATACAGAGTTTCCCAGCATTCCTTTAGGAACCTCCAACATGCAAACTGTGGTTACTCATCCTAAAATGAATTCTGTTTACCTGGAGCTTCAAAATTTGCTGTTTGCTAGAAAGATGTGTAGTTAAAAGTCAGTTTACATTTAGTGTACATCTGACTTTGGGGATAGTTTTTCATAATCAAACAAAAGAGTATTTTCTGTGCAGTTCACACCCCTTGCTCACTGGATCTGGATGTCACAAAGCAAAGCCCACATTTTGTAATTAACCCCCGTGCCCCATTTTGATTGGCAGAGTGCTGCAGGAGACAAGTGCTGTCACACACCCTGGCCACACCCACCTACCCATGCCGGTTGTTAAAATTTTTGAAGCTCACTGATTTCTAGCCAAAATATTTAGATAGGTTACAGTGGTACAAGAAACACCTACCCTACGCTAATTTTTATTCTCTGAATGCCAACAAGCCATTAAAAAGCTGTTTTCTTAATTTATCAAGAAAAGAATATGGGGAGTGGGGTCATACTTTAATGATGTCTCATATGACATGAATGTAGAAATTCATATATTCAGACCTTGATATTTCAATTTAGTAGAATGCTACAGGCCAGACTAGACAAGACTTTGTTTGAGACATTGAATGTCTGTGGCTGATTAAAATAGATAATTCTCCCTTAAACTCAAGTCTGTTGTTTTTTTCTAGGAGTCTCAAGGTTAATGGATCTACTAGCAGATTCTAGAGAGGTCATAAGAAATGATGTGAGTAGATATTTTATATTCATGCAACATTTTAGTAATGACATTCTTTTCTCAATTGTAAAACCAGCCCAGTGTTTTTTTAACATTTATGCTTCAGTGAAAATATTATATAATCGGAGTAGATGATAAGTACATGAGGTATATGCCAACATCATTATTGCAGAATATTATGGATTGTGTTTGAAGAAAATATTTTTATTTTTAATGTAACCTCATGCTGAAAATCTTAAGGGATTTATTGTAAATTGATAAACAAATTTCTGTGATTTTGAAGTGCTGAATGTTTTGCACAGAAAATTATTAATCTGAACTGACAGATTCTTTGCTTATAACTGTATTTCCTTGCACTTCACATCCCTAAGTCTTTTCTTACTCTTTTACATGTTATGATTGCTGTCCTTATTTTACAATTTATCAGACATGCATTTTGCATAGTTAGAACAAAATCTTATTTTCTTAGTTTTCAACTAGTGTCATTTTAAGATAAGTTAGAGATAACTTATGCAGCAAACACTATTCTGCTGCTTTATCAGTAGACAGTATGCAACATGTGTTTATTTTTTGCAAAGTTCAAACAAAGAAAGAGCCAGGAACCAAAACTTTCCATCTGGAAGTTTATACTTACTTATTTAATACTTTGAGAGAGAATTCTAAAGTATAACTGTAGAAGAAGAGATGGCACTGTAAGTTTTAAAAAACTAGATGCCCACAATGTGTAACAGTTTATCCTTGCTATTCAAATTAATAGACTGCCTGTTCAAACAATTAACTTAAAACAATAAAATTCTACTATTTTTACTCCATAATGTGGCATTAAAAATCCTAAAACATAGGTAAGGAAGACGTTCTGAGTCATTTGAAGAAATTGCATGACGGAGTGCTTTACAAAATTTCCCCTTATTTTCCCCTCATTCCCTGTTTTTGTTAAAGGAGGTTTGAGCAACAGGAGATGAAAATTATATGAAATAAAGTAGTGATTCTTATTCAATTGATTCTCACAAACTTTTAAGCGATTTTTATGGAATATATACTGGTTCTTGTCTATAATTGGTGGTGTTGTCTGTTATTTTTAACTGCATGAACATTTTGTCTTTTATTTTTCCTTTCTCCTCCAGGGTGTTTTGTTACTTCAGCAGTTAACAAAAAGTAATGCAGCAATCCAGAAAATAGTTGCTTTTGAAAATGCATTTGAAAGATTGTTAGATATCATAACAGATGAGGGTAACAGTGATGGAGGTATGTGCCTGAAATCTTCAATTTCATACTATAGTTTATGAGTTTAGATAGTTCAGATTTATAAGGGCTATTAAAATCAATGTCTTTTAACCACTCTATTTTGCAGGCATAGTAGTAGAGGACTGTCTTCTGTTGCTACAAAATTTGTTGAAAAATAACAATTCAAATCAGAATTTTTTCAAGGAAGGTTCTTATATTCAGCGTATGAAACCATGGTTTGAAGTTGGTGATGATAATGCTGGTTGGTCTGCACAGAAAGTAACCAATTTGCATTTGATGCTGCAGGTAATTTCTTATCCGTATGAAGTAACATTTAAAATGAGATCTAAGTTTTCTAGTAATGTCAAATGGAATAACATTATCTTTGAAGTAACTTAAAGATGATGCTTTGGATACTTTCAACACACCTAAATCATTGTTTACTTTCTTTACAGCTGGTACGTGTGCTGGTGTCTCCTACAAATCCTCCTGGTGCCACCAGCAGTTGTCAAAAAACCATGTTTCATTGTGGGTTATTGCAGCAGCTTTGTACAATTCTGATGGCAACTGGAGTTCCTGCTGATATCCTTACAGAGGTAAAATACTAGAAAATAGCGACTGTTGCAAGATAAGATAATGATCAGAAAACAAGAGGAAATTATCATAGCCTTTTCTGAAATACTGAAATTTTAAAAATTTCTCTAGAACTTTAAGATATTGACACACATTATTACAGATAGTCCTCAACTTATGACCTCAATTAAGCCCAACGTTTCTGTTAAGTGAGATAGTTGTTATGTGAATCTGTCCATTTTACAACTTTCTTGCCCCAATTGTGAAGTGAATCACTGTAGTTGTTAAGTGAATCTGGCTTTCCCATTGATTTTGCTTGTCAGAAGGTCGCAAAAGTGATGTCATGACTCTGGATTCTGCAACCATCATAAATACAAATTGCTTGCCAAGCATCTACATTTTCATCACATGGTCATGGAATTGCTAGAATGGTTGTAAATGTGAAAAATAGTCATAAGTGTTTTTTTCAGTGCCATTGTAAATTCGAATGGTCACTAAATGAGGACTATCTCTGTTTGATTCAATTTCAGTATTTCAAGTGTAAATTTAACTAATTTTAGATTATTGAAAACATTTGACAAACATAGTTCAGGTCTTCTTTTGCTACTATAAAGGTAACTTTCATTTTAACAATGTTATTATAGAATAATATCATTTTAGAATATTTTATGGTGTTTTACCATCATTTGATGGTAAATTGAACTGATGTCATTGTCTCATGGTTTTTGAGATTTTGTAGGGTAACCTGTAAAAGTTGTCTGCAGAGTATGACATCACATAATCACATATAAATCAACTCATTCAATGTAAACAACTACACGCACAAAAATTGCTGAACTTTAAATAATTTCATATTCTTCTGATTGCATGGAGAAACAAGTAATGAAATATTGTCTGTCAGAGCGTTTTGCAGCATGACTACCTTTATGAGATAACCCAGGACCAATACACAGCACACAGAGACTTAGACAATAGCAGTGGTTTAATATACAATAGTTATATACAGACAATATACACGTGGTAGCAAAATACCTTTACAAGCAAGCTTTTCTTCCTAACACATGGAGAACTTCTGCACTGAATACTGGCCACAAGGAAAGAGAACCATGCCCTCTAATGCCTGCCTTTATATACATACTCTTAAGGAAACTTTACTCTCCAGCCTTAAAGGGAAATACCCATGCTCTGCTGAATCACTTTTGTTACATCAACAAGACTTACATCAGCTTCACAGCATCGTGCAGCTACTCACTGCTGATCAGTTTCTAAATCTTAATACCTTAACATTGTCCAATCTTAAATCTGTTAGCAATCATGTTATCTTCATTGACAGAATATATACAGAGAATCAAAATTGAAAATACTTGATTGTATTTTCATAAATAAATATAAATACTGGTAGTGTGCATTTTGCATAATGTAGCATAAATCAAAGAAACTAATTCAATATCAATTCATTATTCACTTTCTCATTCTGACATAGCTATTAGAGTTGATTTCTTTATGTTCTTTCATTCTTATTTTCTAGACCATTAACACTGTATCAGAAGTAATTCGAGGATCTCAAATGAATCAAGATTACTTTGCTTCAGTAAATGCACCTTCAAATCCTCCAAGGTATGTTAAAGAAAATATAATGCAACTTTGTGTAAAAATTAATGTTTATGAGAGGAAACACATATTTGTGTAAATTGGATATGAAAATCTGAAATCTTAATATTTAATTATAAGAAATGGGAATTGATATTGAAGTTATTCTGAGTTTTCATGATTTATTTATTTATTAAGAAAATTTATATGGCCACCCAATTCACTCACAGTGATACTTGCCAATTTACAGTTATAAAGCCTCAGTACAAAACTAATAACCCCTTCCCCCTCCACAACAATCAGATCAGAGTGAGATCCCTTTGCAAGACTGCAAAATGAGGGCCAGTCTTATTTCTGGCCTTTCTTGGTGCCACTAGTTCAGGGGTGGGGAACTATGGCTCTTTTATGAAGTGTGGAATTCAACTTCCAGAATTCCTGAGCCAGCATAAGAGAGACCCGTAACATTCCCTCCTTTTCTGTTCTGGTGGGTCAGATAGATATGATTGGAAAAAGATGGTCCTTTGAAAAAAATCTAGTCCCAGGTCATGTAGGGCTTTAAAGATGACTACCAGAGCCTTGAACTGGGTTCAAAAGTAAATTGCCAGCCAATGTTGCTCCCGCAAGGAGGAGACACGTACAAATCTAGGATTGCATAGTACCCTGTGGGCCTCCAGATTTGAACCAATTGAAGCTTCTGGATACTTTTTAAGGGCAACCCCATGTAGAATGCATTGCAGTAGTCAAGATGGGATGTGACCAGGGCATAGGTAACTTTTAGCAGGAATTGCTGGAACAGGAAAGGGCATAACCCACAGTTGCCCACAGGCCCTCCTGACCTGACTGCCACTTGTTCTTCAAGCAGGACTCATGAGTTCAGGAGAACCTCCAAGGTCACGCACTGGGGCTATTTGGGAAACCCCACCCAAGATCAGATGTGGCAATTTTCTATGGATTGAAGAGTCCCAAACCAACAGCCATTCTGTCTTGCTAGGGTTTCAGTCCATTGCTCCCCATCAAGCCCATAACAGTCTCCAGGCACTGCGAGAGGGAGGTCACAGTATGGTTTTACTCACCATGGGCTGCAATATACAGATGGGTGTCATCAGTATATTGATGACCTTCAATCCATGTTGGTGGATACTTGATATATATGTTAAACAAAGTGGAGAAAGTGCCAAACCCTCTTGAACCCTGCAAAGCAGGGGTTGAGGCTGGATCTCTTGCTTCCTATCAACACTGACTGAGCAACCTAAAGGAAGGAAGTGAACAAGGACAACACAATGCCGCCCCCTCCCACTCCAAAGCTACTCTAGAAAGATACCATCATCAATGGTATTAAAGTAGAGCAAGTAGAGCAAGGATGAACACACTACTCCCCTGCCATTCTCATCAGAGATCATTGGTCACAAAAAGTGTGACCAATACCATTTCTGTTTATATCCGGATCTGAACCTTGACTGCAAAAGGTCCAAATAATCTGTTTCATCAAAGAAACTAGAAGTACACTGATAGTAATGTGGTATTGATAGTTGTTTCATATACTCAAATACGGTTTTTATCAGAAGTTTATGAATTGCAAATTATTTGTTTCTTTGTTATTTCTTTTATAATCGAGTTCAAAAAGGAGTTAAAAGAAGGTCCAGATCTGAAAGTGATACTGAGTTGTAATTCCTTCTAGTTGCCTCTCTGCCATCTTCCTTATCTTTTTGGAGACCTCAAGCATTGAACTGGGACTTCTTCTTGTAAATAATTTTTGTCCTGGGAAGAAGAGCCATATTAAAATAATAATAATGTGTAAAATTAAGTAATTACTTGGAAGAACTGCAAAAACAAAAATGAGAGAAATTGAATAAGTCACATGTTTTCTGATAACTTGGGTTAATTAATATACTTTCTTTTACCTATTAGTGTATCAATTTTACGTGTTATATGTACCATATTCTTATGGAAGCGTACAGACCTAAACTAAAAAAAAATAAATTTCTTCTTTCAATCATAGGCCTGCAATTGTTGTGCTTCTTATGTCAATGGTAAATGAGAGACAACCATTTGTCCTGCGCTGTGCTGTCCTTTATTGCTTCCAGTGTTTCTTATACAAAAACCAAAAAGGGCAAGGAGAAATTGTATCAACTCTTCTACCTTCAACCATTGATGGTACGGTATTGGAAAGTTAAATTCCTACTTCTAACTTTAGGTGTAAAAATGCATGATTGTTGGGTGGCAGGAGGGAGGAAAATTCTTCTCACTTTTAGGAGGCTTATTCTTTTTTTTTTTTTAAACAAATTTTATTAATTTTTAAAAGCATACAAAACATACAAGATAAACATAAAACCTTTTTTCTAAAAATTTCTAAAAATTATTTGAAAGTTTTACAACATTAACACATTTCCTTACAATCACATATTTTCCCTTTCTAACTTGCTTTATTTTCTTCTATCTTTCTCTCCATTGTCCTTTTCTAACCTTTCTCCAAGGTTTTATTAACTCATTCAAACTTAAACACATAAGAACACAAAACATATAAACATAAAAAAAAACATCTTTTCTGAAAGTTGCTTAATTTATTTATTTATTTATTTATTTATTTGATTTGCCAATTGTTTACAAGATAATAAGTATAAATGTATACATAGTTGTGAATACATGAAATGGTTACATATAAGAAAAATAAAAGAATAAGAGAAACAATAGGACAGGGACGGTAGGCACATTGGTGCGCTTATGCACGCCCCCTACAATCCCGGGTCAAGACTCTTTGTACAGACACCAACTCAAATTCATATTCATTTTATATGCCATTCCATATCAATATTACCATTTTCAATTTTTTATATAGCTTCTTCTCTCTCTTAGATTCTCTTAATTTTATTTTATTTATCTCATCTCAATTCAAATCATAATATTTATTATTCTTCGTCTGTTTATTTCCAGCTATCGATTTATCTTTCTTCTTTAAAAAAAAAAGCTTCTCCTGTACACTAATTGGAGTATGACGCCTTTACCTCTTTCCCCTACATTTATAATACTTAATATAAAATACCTAACTTACATTGGGATTCTATTTGGTACATTCTAAAATTATACAATATTATCAATACCAATACTAATCTATTCATTAATATTCATATTCTTTTATATCATAAACACTTAGCACATTACTTTTCAATTAATTAACATACTTTTGTGGGAGCACCTACTTTCCATAATTATTCCCCCCCACGTCACATATTTTAAATCATTATTTCATTAAGGTATTCCTGCTTCTCCTACTTCAAATCTCTCCTTTCAAAAAAAAAAAAAATTTCCACTGAAATAACACAATCTAATTAATATTGACATTCATTTATATCTTTCTCTCCAACTCCTTTATATCTTAACCACTTTATCCATTTCAATTAAATAACATGCCTTTTGGGAATACTTATATTTTCCACAATTATTCCCCCCCTCCCCACATCATATCTCAAAACTTTATTTCATAAAATGTTCCCCTTTTCTTAAGACAAGTTTCACTAAGTTATATTAAACATTTTATCACACTTTAAATTACACATTATTTCCAACTTTCTAAAATTATTTCTAAATACAAATATAAAAAACAATCTTATGTACCTCTAGAATCCCTTTATCAATAAAGCTTACCCATTATCTCTAAAAAACTTTTGTTTCTTTACATCTTGCTCTCTACTATTGAGGCTTCTCGTCCCCTTTCTCCCTTGCTTATTTTTCTTTCTGTCCTCTTTACCCCTTTGCCTCTCCACCTCCCTTTTTCTCTGCTTTCCTCCTTTCTGTTGTCTTCTAACATAATATCTCTTTTTCATCTTGTTTTTCTCTTTTTTGATTGCTTTTATAGGTCTTAAAGTCTCTTTTTCCTTTTTCTCTTTCTCCTTTCCTTCCCCAGCCAAAGTCACTTGTTCATCAAAAATGGCTTCTTCTTTGTCCCAGTCGTCCTGTTGTCCATTCAATTTTACATAAGTGTAGACCGCCATTTCTAAATACTGAAAAAGAGTATCAAAAACATCCTTCCCTTCTTGCTTTTCTTTCTCATATTTTTGATATAAAAGTTTCAATCTGTCCACAAGTAATGCCATTATAAAGAGAAAAAGTTTTCCCAAGCAACCACCCAAGTGCTTTTAATCAGAGATAATTCTCAAAAGTAGTAAAATCACCAAGCAATCCAAGTAGGTTAATTCTTTTAAGCACTTTCTCCTTCACTTTCTCTTTCTGGGATTGGAGTTTGATCACAAAGTTCCATTTAATATATATCTTTCAGAAGCCTTGTTAGTATTTATAGCTCTTTAAAAATCCAGGCAGTCTTCTCCTTATTTTCAAATTCTAATCCAATTTTTCCCTCTCCCTTCCCACTCACAGCAAAAAAAAAAATTTTTAAGTCTTTTTTTTAAAAAAAATCATTCAGAAATCCTTATCTCTTCAGTATTTAATTACCTAGATTTTCAGATTTCTCTTGTTATTCCATCCGCTGTCACGTTAGGAAGGAGAGTGAAGAAAAAAAAAACTTTCCCTTTTAGAATTCTGTGCGCCGCTTGTAACTCTCTCTGGAAACAATGTAGCAACTTCTCCGTAACAATTTTCAAGCCCCAGGAAACTTTCTTATCCCTTGACAACTTTATCCCGGTCCAGAAACAACTCTCACAATTTCTCCGATTTTCTTCCTTCTGCACAATCTTATCCGTTTGCAGGTTTCTTCATGGCGGCCATTGCTGACCGCCGCTCCTCCGCCTCGGGAAAAGGGGGTTTTGCTGGCTGGGGAGTGGGTCTGCGACACCCCTTGCCCCCTTTCCAGATCCCCCCTGTCTTCAGCTGCCCCTGCAGGGCAGCTATATCCCCCAGATCCAAACGGATCTGGGGAACCTTGGCAGTGAGCTCGGCAGGGATCACGCTGGATCGCAAATCCCTGCCGCTGCCGAAGCCTCGCAAACCGGAAGCCAGGAGGCTTATTCTTATAAGTGGTAATTGTACAGTTTTCCAGTTCTGTTCATTTCCAGTTGCAAATAAAGCATCAGTAAGCAGCATTAGACTCTCCTAGCAACTTTATTTGGATTTTTTTTTCTATTACATGCTGTAAAAAATAACTCATAATAAGAGATCATTAACAAACACAATAATGACACATAAGATTATCACATTTACTGATAATGGCCCCTATCTAACAAAATGAATCAATTTAGATAAAAGTAAGGTTTTACACTTAGGCAAGAAAAGTCAATTATATAGGTACAGCTTAGCTGAAACTTGGCTCAATACCAATAATTGTGAGAGGAATCTTGGAGTCCTAGAGGACAATCACTTAAATACGAGCCAACAGTGTGCAGCCAAAAAAAGCCAGTGCAGTCCTAGGCTGCGTTTAGAGCAATAGAATCAAGATCACATGAAGTTCTAGTACCACTTAACAAAGCCTTAGTAAGACCACATTTGGAATATTGCATCCAATTCTGGTCACCACAATATAAAAAGAGGTTGAGAGTTTGGAAAGAGTACAGAAAAGAGCAACAAATATGTTTAGGGGGCTGGAGGCTAAAACGAAGGTTGCAGGAATTGTGTGTGTCTAGTATGGTGAAAAGAAGAATTAGAGGAGACATAATAGCAGTACTCCTAAAAAGACGAGGGGGGCTAAACTATCGTCCAAACCACCAGAAGACAAGAAACAATGGAGCTAAGGGAAAATTTCCTAATGGTGAGGGTAGTAAAACCAATGGAATAGCTTGCCTTCAGAATGCTCCATCACTGGACGTTTTTAAAAAGAGGCTGGACAGCCATTTGTCCAAAATGGTATAGGCTTTCCTGCTCGTGTAGGGTGTTGGATTAGAACACCTCCAAGGTCCCTTCCAACTCTATTATTCTATGTTCTGCTATTTGCTCTGGGTATTCTTAATATCCTGATGAATTCTTACATGGATGCCACACATTATATATGTATTTAAGGTCAGCGTATTCTTCAGTACATTTTATTCTATAAGTTAACTTTTCCATAGTTTATTAAACATTGATTAAATGATGGACAATTATCTAGTTTCGAAGTACAAAATCCTGCTGATAGCAGATCAACAACTCCTGCATAGCTGCCCTAAATTGGCCCACATATTTTTTTTCACCATTTCAATTGGCTATACTCTTTGAAGCCCCCAATCAAGGTCAAAACATTCCTGCATTAGATAATCTCTCGGGTATTTTCAAAAGCTTTATATATAGTCTGAACTAGTCCTATCAATAAATTGACTGCTTATTTTACAGCTACTGGAAATTCTGTCTCAGCTGGCCAACTTCTTTGTGGAGGACTCTTTTCTACAGATTCTGTTTCAAATTGGTGTGCAGCTGTGGCATTGGCCCATGCTTTGCAAGAAAATGCCACTCTAAAGGAACAGCTGCTACGGGTACAGCTAGCAACTAGTATTGGAAATCCTCCAGTGTCCTTACTTCAGCAGTGCACTAACATTCTGTCTCAGGTACAGGATAATGAACCTATAACTTGCATACCCTGAACCTTTTTAGAAGTGCCCATAAAGAAACATTCTTTAAAAAGAGAGTTGTTATAAAATACCTTTATTATTACATTTAATAAACCATAAAGCACTATTAAATATTCAGTTGAGACTTTCAAGAAGAGATTGGACTGCCATTTGTCAGAAATGGTGTAGGGTCTCCCACTTGGGTGGGGAGTTGGACTAGATGACCTACAAGGTCCCTTCCAACTCTGTAATCTGTAAAATGATCTTGACACAAACTATTGCTTTTAATATATAGTGTTTTCTATTAATTTGTGTTAATTCTCATAAGCATATGGGGATAGATCCAATGATTAGAATTATCAAAACTACTTGTTTGCTGGGTTATAAGTAATATCTGTGGCTAACATATATGGAAATATATGGAAAATAATAGTGTGGTGGGATTGCACTGAATTTGGACCAAGGAGATCCAAGTTTAAATCTGTCCTCAGTTATGAAAGCTCTGTCATCCAATCTATCTCATAGAGCTAAAGAGAGGAAATTTTGGAGGAGTGTTTGTTATGCTTTGAACTCCATAAGGAAAGAGAAAGTATATTGTAAAGAATCAGATTGTAAAGAATCAGAAATGCATGTGTAATCTGTTTGATATATACAGTACATCCTTGAAGGAAATAAAAACTGAAATAAGGGACTGAATGGTAAGGCAAAATAGTATGTGTTTTTTATTTTTTCACAATCAGAGTAATGGTTAATATTTGAACCATGAATATATGAAGCCAAGAAACAAATTTGTGCAAAATACCTTGGCCAATTATTGAGACCACATGTGGGCTTGCCTTCTTATGAATTTATCAATAATACAGAAGTAAATGGTCTTGACTTTCAATCCTTTTGTTATTAGTTTGTAGAACATGTGTATGCTTCACACATTGTGTATACATTTAGGATGGAAGAAAATTATTTTTCTTGCGTATTTTTAATACAGTAAATAAAAATTTTCCCCATTAAAGCAGCATGGAAAATTGTTATGAACCTCATTCCATTGTTTGTATGCAAACTAATTTAAAAACAAATGAGTTGGTAGTTAGATTTAAATGAAGTAAAATCCTTATAAATCAAGCAAACCTTATTTGACTGATGTTAAAGTATACATAAAAACAAATTTCAGTGTTAATTTTTAATCTCATTCAAAAATATTTGTTCTGAAAAGGAACTTGAGCTTTTTAAAAAAATATGTACACTTCTATGTCATCCATATACATAGCCGCAGAACTGTTCAGATTAATGAAAATCGAAAACAACTTACCTCTGTACAGTATTGTGATTTTAACATCCTGCAGCATTCCCTTATAATATTTAATGTATGGTTCACAGGGTGATAAGATCGACAGACGGGTATGTATTGATGAACGCAAAGCGTTCCTTTCATTGTAGCAGGGTCTATCTGCTATCTCAGCTTTGCTGTGTTTTATGAATTAATTGTTTGAGGGTGGTTTTTTGTACTTACAGTTTGTGCCTGTTGCTTGGTGTTATTTCTAGTAACAAACTGTCTATCTCTTGGTGGTTTTGGTGACAGATATTGGAAACATGGTTGTTATGGGTGCTTTTTCTTTCTCCCAGGAGTCCCTGCATAACCAGTGGGTACTAAATGTAGTTTGACTTCTTTGTCTTCTTTTAGCGTAAATTCAGTATTTGTTTTCTACAAAGTTTAATGAGTACTTACTTTCTTTTCATAGCCAGATAGAAGATAAAAAAATTCTAAGTGTTTCCAAACCATGGTATTTCAGATAGTATTCATCCTACCTTTAATTAAATTATTTTCAGATTAAATTTTGTTTTATTAAGTGATTCATTCTTCTTGATTAGTATTTTCTGTCGACCATGCAGGATAAGATTTATATATTGAATGATTTTACATATTTTTTTTTTTTGCTTAAGTTATAAATGGAATAGAAGAACACAACAGAAAGCTGTTTTAGTCTAGTGATTAAAGTGCCAGGCTAGAAAGCAAGTGACCGTAAGTCATGAAAGCCAGTGGGTGACCTTAGGGCTGTCTGTCTCAGCCTAACTCACCTCACAGGGTTATTGATATGGAGAAAATAGGAGGTGGAAGATACGCTGGATATATTTGCTGCATTATTTGTAAATAGTAAAGATATAAATAAAAATAAAATTAACAAAATACAATTGCAAAATCTATTGTTAATAAAAACTATCAGCTATTAAAGTAAAAAGACTGTTTGATTTTTTTTATATCAAAACCAGATAAAAATAGTCAAAAATAGATTTTAAAAATATAAATATTCTTATTGAGTATAACTTTTTTTCAAAGTTTTTTTTTACACATCTCTTCATGTGAGCAACGTGATTTCAGATTACAATATTTATACATAGTCATAGTTACACTTTCGACTTTCTTAATTAATATCACTTCAAATTATTATCCACTCGACTAATCGTTAGATAAATTTCCCATTCATATTTCAATTCATTAATTCAGTATCAAAATCATTTCATCCTCACATATGTTTTCAATTCTTTATCCCCTAATATTTCCATTTTTAGCTTACCACCTATTTTATGTTACCTTATGTATTGTTAACATCTATAACTTTCTCAAGACCAATATATAATTAGACAGTCAATGAAAAAAAAATGAGTAAAAGTAAAGTAAGATTAATACATTTAGGATCCACATGGTATATCCCCCATCTACAATATATCTTATATCTATTCCAGAGATATTCATATAATCATTTCATATTTTTCTTTGTTTCCAAAATGTACCTATATAATTTTAATAAATTTTCATTCCCCTGCTTTTGATTATAATATAATTCATTCATTATAAATATTTTACATTCCTACATAATCCCTTCTAGTTCATCATATTTTCTATTTTCTCATATCCTTTGTATAATCAATTGTATTTTCTATTTCATGGATACCACAAAGAAAAAATAAAAATAAAAGCAGAGTTAATTTCCCTTTTTACTTCCTTTTGACCAATTTCAACCTATAGCATTTATATAACCCTAATTCACACTTTTTAAACATAATACCAGATTTTCACCCAAGTCATTATATTCTCTGTTTTCCTAATATCATTTAAATAGTTATTGGCATATTTTAGTGTGTGTGTGTGTGTGTGTGTGTGTGTGTGCGTGTGTGTGTAAGAAAGGATTAATAACAACAGAACCCTCTTAATATCATTCACTCCATCTTCATTTTTCTCATCTATAATTATCTAATAATCTTAAGGTAATTCCCAGCAAGTTATAAACTTCAAATCTCCCCAATCTAATAAAAAATACAAAGATACATTCCCATGTGGTGTCCCCCTTTTATGCTATATCTAACCTTTATCTCTAAATCTCTCGACCTTGTCATTTCTCTTAGTTTTAGCCAGCTTTCCCTTTGCTAAGTTTTCCTGGCATTCCCTCTTTTTTCCTCTAATATTACATTTATTTCCATCTGCCAGTCCCCCATCTTTCCTCCCCACCTTTCCTTTTCTCTTTTTTGAAATTTCTTCTTGTACAGCTTCTTCTTTTGCTTACTCTTGGGAGTTTTTTCTCTTTTATTTATTATTTCTGTTGTCAATGTCTTAGTTTTAGTTCCTTTTGTGTCTTTTGGCAATGTCTCTGAATCTTCATGTACATCTTGGCTGTTTTCCTTTTCCTTTAGCTCCTCCACTCTAGAATTTTTTTGTTCTGCTATAAATTTCATTATTTCTTCTGCCAGTGTGTCCAATAGACCCCTTCTTTCTTTTATCATTTCTTTCACAGTTTGCAATTCCAACTTAAATTATTTGCTTGCTTCTTCCATTTTTTAATCGTGTTATTCGTTATTTTATTAAAGTTAATTGTAATCCTTGCCAAGAGACTCTGTTTATATCTCTTTTCCTTATTGGTCCTTCTGTTTCCTTTGCACAGTCAACCCCCAACAGTCCCAAGATATTGCCTTCCATTGTCCTCTTGCTGCAATCTCCCCCTTTTTCTTTAAGCTTCCGGGGTTCTTGTTATGTTAAAGTCTTTTATTTCATGTCTTTTCTCATTCACACATTTAACAAACCAGTAATTTTCCATAAAGTTATCCAGAAAAAAATGCTTTGTACCATTAGGTAGTGCTCTATATCGCTTCCACTTTTCAAAGTTCTTTTTTTCCCTTTTTTTCAATTATATTAATGTTAATCTTCAAGCATTTCAACCATTTGCTTTTTTTAAAAAGTATAATCAATTCCAAGCAAGTTCAGCATTTTATCCAATGCCTAATTAATACCAGATTCTGTATATTATTCCCAATTCCGTTCCATTATAGATCTTTTGGAGTTCAGATTTTTATTTACCTTATATTGTCCTCTTGTTTTCTATTCACCACTGTTGTACTCTCAAGCGAGGAATCTTTCTTTCTGTTGTTGTTTTTTTTAAAACAAATTTTATTAATTTTTAAAGACAAACAAACCATCATTAACCATTAAATACATGAACCTCTTTCCATTATAAATTTTACAAGTCAAATAAAAC